ATCTCTAGCATATTTCGAAATTCACAAGGGAGGAGGCTAGGGTTTTCAAAACCCTAACCCTAATTTCGATTAGGGTTCTTTGGAGGCTAGGGTTTTCAAAAACCCTTTGATCCATAACCCAAAAAATCGAAAAATGGCCTTTAGGGTTTAATAGCTATAAACCCTAATTTGCAATTCAACAATTATGACAATTCAATTTAAAACAAATAATGACTCTGATACCACTGATGGGTTTTAGGTAAAAACAAATAAACTAGAAAACAATTCCTAAGTTCACATGCAACCTACTTTGGATCTATGTTTTATCTATTGAACATACAACTTTGAATTGCAAAACAAGAACCCTAGAGGAGAGAGGCTATAATCGAAATCTACAAACTAGGGTTTAGTAATTACATACCTTTCAATTGTTATAGTAAACAATTGATGATTCCCTTGATCTTGATCTTGATCTTCTTGGAAGCTTAGCACCACAAGTGTAATGCCTCTAATGGAATCACACCCAAACTAGCAAGAAGGAAATTAGAGGAGAGAGGAAAGAGGGAGTATGCAAAATTTTGGCCCTTAGGGTTTCTTCCAAAGAAAAGAGTGACCAAAACATGAACCAGGAGGCTCCTTATATAGCTGAGGGATCTAGGGTTTAGGAAAACCCTAGTTATCCTTTGCTTAGGGCCTAAGCAAACCCAAGGGCCTTATCCAAGCCCCTATGGACGAAATTATTAGGGTTTCCCCTAAAGATTTCGTCCACCCTTATCCAAGGGGGTTCTAGAGCCTTCCACTCAACTATTAGATAATTGTAAACTAGTCCCTGCACCTTATAATTAATTCTTTTAACCCCAAAATTAATTCTAATTAATTTCTGGCTAACAACTAATTAAACCAAATGATTTCTTATTAATATATTAATCTTTTAACATATTAATTCATTTATATTAATTTATTAATCTTATAATAAATTAATATCTCTTATTTCATAATTTCCTTGTCCGGTTGCTAGGCTTGAGGGCAACCCAAAAGGACTGTGCTGCTATCAATTCAAGTACATACCAATTATAGTTATGGGCTTAGACACCTAATCCAACATTTAGAAAGTACACACAGGTCCTCCTTGAGTAATCATTGATAAAAGCCATAAAGTATTGACATCTACCGTGAGACTTCACAAGAGAGGGACTCCATAGGTCTGAGTGAACACAATCGAGGATCTCATTGCTTGAGTGTGAACCTAACTGAACATCACCTTGCATTGTGTCTATTTAACACAAGCTTCACCAGGTTTAGCATTTCCAATTGCATCTCCACAAAACAACCTATTCTCGCTCATATGTCCCAACTTATGATGCCACAACTCTCTTTCATCATCTAACTGATACAAGGATTGGGCTACCGTCATTATTCCCCTAACCATACAATCCTCCAAGATATAAATCCCATGATGATTCATATTTCTCTTCGTAACTACAAGAGCACCCTTGGATACTTTTACCCGGTCCCCCTCTCTAGAATACTTCAATGCATCCTTCGCCAAAGTGCCAATAGAGATTAGGTTCTTTCGAACATCTAGGACAAACCAACAATCTAGTTTATTAACCATACTATCGTGCATCTTGATATGCACTATGCCAATGCCCTTTACCACGTCCATCCAATCATCACCCATCTTTGTTGTGTCATTCCACTCTTTAAAGGAGTCAAACCAATCGTGATTGTATGTCATATGATAGGATGCTCCAGTATCCAAGACCCAAGCATCACTAGAACTAGTTGTACATACATTCAAAACTTCATCATCATCACCTTAATCAAATTTTCCTTGAACCACATCAACATTGTTGTTGCTTAAACACAGTTATTCCCTTTATTCAATAATGGATAATCTCTTATAAAGTGCCCATTTTCCTTGCAATTATAACATTTGATGTTGGCCTTAGATTCGAAACATGATTTCTATTTGTTACCTTTATTTCCAGTTCCTTGGACATCAAATTATCCTTCACCTTATTCACAATGATTGTTTTCATACCATACAACATCGTATCAATGAAATTCTCATAATAATTCAGTAGTGAAAATAAAAGGATAGGTGCTTGATCTTCATCTTCAATCTTTACATTCATACCTTGTAAATCCAAGATGATGTTATTGAAGTTATCTAAATGATCCTTCACTTAGGTGCTTTCTGATAACCTAAGAGTATCTAAGTGTTGCTCATGATACAATTTGTCCATCATGGAATTGTTCTAATACTTACCACACAATTTCTCCCAAATCCTAGACACACTTGTTTGATCCACGACCTCTCTTAGTACTTCGTCTGTCAAACTTAACAGAATAGCACTATGCGATCTTGCCATAATATCCACTTTCCTTTCAGCCGTCATGTCCTTTGGCAATATCTCTTCTCCTTCTAATGTCACTGCACATCCTTGTTGAACCATAAGAGCCTTCATCTTAACCTTCAATAAGTGAAATAATTAGAACCCTTGAACTTCTCCAAATAGAATTTATGAGATGTCATCTTCAATTAACAGAACACCAACCGCAACTCCGATACCACTTGTTTGGGAAATGGACGATACTTGTTGAGAATCAAAACATATTTGATGCCACTTACCAAGCTCTAATAACCCATGATATGAAGTAATGCGGATAACACATAAAACTAAAAGCATACAAATACACAATATTTGCGTGGTTCTGTCAAGGTGGACCACGTCCACAGGCAGAAGAAGAATATTATTTATTCATAGAGTTCTTAAACATAGATTACAAGTACATCTCAACAGAGATTCGTCATACTCACTAAGAATACAAAAAACACACTTAAATGACTTAGCAAACATCCTTATTTATATTGAAAGGATCAGACCTAAAACCCTAATGAGCCAAGCCCATTGGCATATAGGCCCATGAATGGTGTCGACCAATTACAATCCACCATACAAAAACTTTTTGGAACATTCATTTATATTGCATGTGCATCAACAACACATCATGGATCATCATGATCCATAATGGCTCATCATGATGCAAGAGTGACACATCAAAATCATCATGGCTCATCAATCATCATTATGGCACATGAAGCAATAATCCTTGAGCATATTTAAATTATAGTCATCCTTGAGCAATCTTGAGAATCATAGTGAACAACATAGCATAAGTGGCTCATCAAGGGATACCATGGCTCATCAAGAACACATATTGCACACCAGGAACACGTGTGATGCCCCAAGCCACATAATGACATATCATGATGCACAAGTGGCACATCGTGATCATTAGTAGTTTATCCATGCTTAAGCAACACATCGATACTCTGAAGTACTCATAGAACACTAAATTGGCACACCTTGTACCAAGGTGGCTCATCTTCCTTAATCATGGCCCATCTAACTTCAAGCTAACACATCCTCCTTCAAAAGTGGCGTATCACTTTATCATAGGGCGTACCTTGCTACCCAATGACGCATCATGCCTTATAAGTGGCGAATATATGCCTGCAGTGGTGCATCTTGAGCATGAATGACGCATCCATGCACCAAGGCGCTCCATTCCACTCCCAGGTACTCTATATCCTTCTCAGATTCTTCATTCATTTCTCAGGTGCTCCATACCCTTCTCAGATGCTCCATTTTCCCTTTATGACGATCTGTTACTTTTCCATATGATCCATTCATTTATTACTTGATCTATTCTCTTGTCACAAGATATGTTACTTTGTTAAATGCTCCATGAACTCCAATGTGCATTAGTTCTTCTGCTATGTTTTTCTACGTATATTAGACAAACTCTAAGGCTAGCACTATTATTTTTATTAAAAATCCCACAAATTTCCTTTTCAACTCCAATTACACACTGAAAATTTAACACTAAAAACATACTTTAACACTATAATTCTAAAATATTGTTTTCTTTAATATTATATAATTTTATTTTACTTAATTATAATAATATATAAATTAATAATAACAATAGTAGTAATCGATTAAATTATTGATTTTACAATATAAATAAAATGAACGCTTTTCAAAATCTCCAAATTTGTGTTTTGATTTATGTTTTTCTATCTTTGTTAAGTTTGAATTTTAAATATATATATATATATATATATATATATATATATATATATATATATATATATATATATATATATATATATATATATATATATATAAGTTTGTTATATAATGATCACATTGTATTGATTTTTTTTTTCTAAGTTATCAAAATTATAAAATACATAAACAAGTATTCACTATGGTAATTAGATGGTTCCAAAACAACTTAATAAATAAAGTAATGATTTATTATTAATAATAAAAAGGATAAAAATAAAAATTTATATGTAACATTATAATACATATATGTTTAAGGGAGAATTTCATATATGTCATTCTAAAACATTAAAATATCATATATACCCAACTTAATTTCTAAATATCATATTTATCCTTCATAAAATTTTAAAATATCATATATGTCATTTTTAAACATCAAAATATCATATATTCCCTTCTTAAATATCAAAATATCGTATATGCACTTTTTAAACATCAAAATATCAATGATAGTATCTAAAATATCATCAATCTACAACATAATAATCAACAACAATAAAAACTGAACAATCAAAATATGCATTCTATAGAAGAGTTGAAGATGAATCTTTTTATCTGTCACGAGACCGACATTCCAGTAATTTAAAAGTTTACATTCTATTATCATAAACATAAAGATAATATGGTTAAATTTCTTAATTATTATAATAATTCTAAGGTATGAAAATCTATTATAAAATATTAAAAACATTATAAAAATAAATTTAGGTAAATATAATATTTTGAAGATTTATGAAGAATAAATTTAATATTTAAAAATTAAATTGGATAAATATAATATTGGATTATATGAAATTGAAATGATACTCAAAAACTTATTTTTTACTGCGGCGGTTCGATTGGAGTAAAATGGACATCCAAAACAAAAATATGAAGATTCGTTGGAGTTGCTCTTAATTATGCATCAGCCCAGGCCCATTATTATTAGGTTTTTACCCTTTTACAGACCGTTTTAACCAGAGAGTGTTCCTTTCTGAAGAGTATCTTCTCCACCACACCGTCGGAGAACTCAATAGAGAGGTTAAAGCGACGGAATTTCATCCGTCCGCCTTGGCATAGCTCGTGCTTTGTCTTGGCCCTCCGTTTCACAAACCATCACCTTCTCCGATCGTATATATACACATACAGTTCAGCAATATATAGCAACATGGTTGGAAAGGCTTCAAAGGCTGAGAAGAAGATCTCTTATGATGCTAAGCTCTGTCAACTTCTCGATGAGTATACTCAAGTTCTTGTGGTGGCGGCTGATAACGTTGGATCAAACCAACTACAGAGTATCCGTCACGGTCTCAGAGGTGATTCTGTTATCCTCATGGGGAAAAATACTATGATGAAGCGATCCATCAGGATTCATGCCGAGAAGACCGGAAACAAGGCTTTTCTCAATCTCGTCACGCTTCTTATTGTACGTAAACCTCTATTTTAATCTCTCTTAATCTATTTTAACATGCTTCACAGAGCATGTTCGTTATTTAGATAGCGAAATTAAATGTTTCTGTTCGGAATTTGGTATTATTATTCGCCATATGATTATTTTAATTTTTGAACATTGAAGGGGAATGTTGGATTGATTTTCACCAAGGGTGATCTGAAGGAAGTCCGCGAGGAAGTTGCTAAGTACAAGGTGAGATTCTTATGAATTCTGTATCTTACGCAATCTAAGAAATTCATCTTCAAAAATGGCTGAATACAATTATGCTTAATGTTAAATAAAATGTTCTTGATTCTTCAGGTCGGAGCTCCTGCACGTGTGGGCCTAGTGGCACCGGTGGATGTGGTTGTTCCTCCAGGCAACACCGGTCTAGACCCCTCTCAGACCTCTTTCTTCCAGGCTAGTAAACTTCTCTTTTCACCATCAAACATTTTGTTTACCATTACAACTGTTTAGACTTTCAATTTCAATCATACTTCAGGTCCTTAACATACCCACCAAGATCAACAAGGGTACAGTTGAAATCATCACCCCAGTTGAGCTCATAAAAAAGGGTGACAAAGTGGGCTCTTCAGAAGCAGCTCTGTTAGCAAAACTCGGCATCAGACCATTCTCTTATGGTCTTGTTGTTCTATCTGTTTATGAAAACGGTGCAGTTTTCAGCCCAGAGGTTCTTGATCTGACAGAAGATGATCTTGTTGAAAAGTTTGCCATGGGAGTATCCATGGTTACTTCTTTAGCATTAGCTATACATTATCCAACCATAGCTGCTGCTCCTCACATGCTCATCAATGGCTACAAGAATGCTCTGGCAATTGCTGTGGAGACCAGTTACTCTTTTCCTTTGGCAGACAAAGTTAAGGAGTACCTTGAGGTATGTAATGAAGAAGTATGTTTCAATTTAACGACTTCAAAAAATTTCTTTTATTAAGTTGTTAAGTTGATGTTTGTAGGATCCAAGCAAGTTTGTGGTTGCTGCAACAGTTGCAGTTACAGGTGGATCTGGACAGGGTGTTGCTGAAGATGTTGCAGTTGAAGAGAAGAAGGATGAGGCTGTAGAAGAGTCTGATGATGATATGGGGTTTGGTTTGTTCGATTAAGTTTGCAGGTTTTGTTATAAGTATCTTTTGTTTAGTAATTGAAACCTTTTTATATTATGATCTTGTTGAAAAGTTTGCATGAAACTTATTATTATTATCTAGTGTTTTGGATTTCTACAATCATTTGTTTATAGCTATCAGTTTTAGAATATGTGGCATAGCTTTCTTCATATATGTGTTCATGATGTCTAGATCCTAGTTATGTATGTTCATAATGCCTGGATAATGGAGGCATTACAACTAAGCGCATAGTATTTTGCATAGCTTTCTTCATTAATGTATAAGACCATTCAAAAAATATAAATACAAAAGCCAAAAGTTTATAAAGTTTAAATGTAGTTTTGCATAAGCTCCTTTTCCTGTAGGAGACGGTGAGGAATTCATTTTATTATTTCTTATACTAAATTAAAAGGTCATGTAACTTATATTACTATGTTTGAAATTTCTACTATGTCAATACTATCTTGAAATTATTATATTTTTTTACGACATTTGCAATTAAAATATTCTTTTTTTTTTTTTTTTTACAAATACATTAACTAACTTTATTATTAGTGCACGATAAAGAAAATCTTGTCCAAACACCCCATAGATAACCATAGATTATAGCTAAGATAATCTTTCTTTTTTTTGGGACAATTAACCCAATGAGCTGCAAATTTGATCAAATCAACAACCATGATAATCATGTTGAATTTTAGTTTAGTAAGATAAGTATAAAGAATTTAAATATATTTAAATTCACATTAAATATATGCAAAAGGAGGTCATCACGACTTAGAGTAAAAATTGTAACTCGTACTTTGCATGGTTGAAGTTTATATCAGGTGCCATCAACATATCAATACTCACATTAAACCAAAAGGCTTTTAGCTGAACAATATCATAAGTTGCTTGCTTTCTTTTTTGAGGTCAATATTCAAGTCTCATTTGAGACATATGTGAAACTAGGAGTTTCTTTTTTGAGGTCAATATTCAAGTCTCATTTGAGACATATGTGAAACTAGGAGTAGTTTAGAAGTATTAGATTGGTGTTCCAAAAAAGTGTAAGAAAATTAGTTTCATGCAAAAAAATATCTAGTCTTGTTAGGTGGGATTGTCAAGTGTTTTATTAATATAGCTCATGAAAAACAAAATATAACAAAGAAAATATTTTCACAAGGTTGTTGATTATCTTCTTAAAGTTCAAAAAATTATGGCTGTGTAGTAATATGAAAGCTCATGCATATATTAACAAAAAAAAAGGGTTTTAAAAGGAAGAGAGGTCGCCTCACAACCACAACCGTGAATTCTAGTGCAACTAGCAATTTCATTATCCTAAACTCCAATGCCATAAACTTTGGAGTAACCGTCGGAGCAAATATGTCCCAAAAAAGGAGCTCGCAACCCGTCATTGATCGTGTTCAAAATAAACTTTCTTTATGGAAAGCTAAAACTTTATCCTTTAGCGGTCGTCTAACTTTGGTTAAAGCTGTGTTGGGTAGTCTCTCTCTTTTTTATTTTTCCATCTTTAAAGCCCCGATTTCCATTATTGATAACCTCGAGAAATTAAGAAGACGATTCTTATGAGGAGGAACTGAAGAAAAACAAAAAATCAATTGGGTCGTTTGGAAGGTGGTACTTGGGCCAAAATCGTCCGGTGGGCTCGGGGTCGGATCCTTGGCCTCGCTTAACTGGGCTCTCCTGACAAAATGAATATGGAGGTTTAAAATGGAAAATGACTCTCTTTGGAGGCGAGTGATCTGTAGTATTCATAGATGTGAAAGTAAGCCTATTCACTCTTGGGCTAAAAAATCTCTCCCGGGCACTTGGAGTAGTATTGTCAATTTCTTCTCGACACTTGGCAATATTGATATTGATGTTTAAGATATTTTTGAATTTCAGGTGGGGGACGGAAAGAAATTTTTGTTTTGGCTAGATGATTGGCTAAAGAACAGGACTTTGGTAGTGAGATTCCCTTCTTTATATGCGTTAGACAAGAGGAAAACTTGCATTTTAAGTGACAGATGGGTGAATGGCGTTTTCTCGTGGGCTTGGAAGCGAAAACCCAACAATTATCAGGAACTATTGGAATTGAAATCTATTTTGGATGTTACAATGATGGTTGTGAGATCTTAATGGGCCTGACACTTGGAGATCAAGGTTAACTGTCGATGGTTCTTTCCGTGTATGCGATCTTAGGGCCCTCATTGACAGTAAATTGACTATCCCGATAAATAACCCCACAGTTTGGCTTCACTTAGTTCCTATCAAGTGCATTAGTTTTGTTTGGAGGGCTTGTATGAGGCGTATTCCTACTGCAGTGGCTCTCTCCAGGAGAGGTATCAGCACGTCTTTTATTTCTTGTCAAATATGCTTTAGTGGTGTGGACAGTGCGATCATGTTCTCTTGGGTTATCCGATTGCTTTTGATTCCTTATACTGGATTTTCAATTGGTGTGACGTTTCTATTCAAAGGTTCCTTTCGATTTCAGATTTTGTTAATTGTGGTGCCTAATGGGGGAACTGTCCAAAAAAGAGAAAAATATTTCTTGGTATCTGCTATGGGTTTCTATGGTGTATGTGGAAAGTAAGGAACGACGTTTGGTTTAACAAAACCCAAGTGAACTCTTCAAAGTTGGCGGATAATGTGATTTCTATGGTTTTTAGTTGGTTGAAATATATGTGTAATTTTGGAAATTGTAGATGAGAATATTGAGTTTGTTCCCCTTTTGACATTTTGTAAGTTTTGTTTTGTTTTTCCTTTATGCTTGGTTTTTTTTTCTTTAAACTGTGGTTTTAATAATATCCGCAGGTTCAAAAAAAAAACCGTTTTAAAGAGAACAAGCACAATAAATAAATAAATAATAAAATCATAAATTTTAGGTAACTATTTATTGTACTTAATTTCTTGATTGATCACACATTTTGGAGCAAACAACTGAGAGAATCTCGTTGTTGTCAACTTCCAGATAGACGATAGGTACTTCGTACTTAATATCTGAATTGAACTATTAATTATATAAAATATATTTTTAAGTTTGTCCCCTAAAAAGAATTCTAGGCCCGTCCTATATTATAAATGATTTTTAACATGTTTTCTTAATTTGTTTCTAGATTGAGCTATTTGATCATTTATCAATAAGATATAATAAATTAACTTATTTTCTTATAAAACGAATTATAATTCCCACTTGTATGATGTATATCTAAATATGATTGGAATTAAAAATACATTGTCCCATACTCCCAAATCTCAATGGATGTTCAATACTTCATTGGATGGATCAGTTTGGATTGGACTAAACTGATTTGATCCCATGTGGTCGTTCAAAGTGCACTTTCAAAGGATCATATTCACATCAATTGGTAGTAGAATATTTAATTTGAGATTGAGAACACTGAACCAGTCGTTATTTCTTGCAAGTTATTCATCATAATCATACATCCACACACTTCTTTGGAATCTACATACACAAATTCATTAGTGAATTTACATAAATAGATGATACAAGGTCAAGTCTCCTTCACTTCTTGCGACATATGCAATCAAGCAGCAACCGAATAAAAAAAAGGGATCCACATAACAAGTTTTATGTACGTAAATTATATGCTTTTCTTTGTTGTTCCACTTCTAGTTATCTTGTGGAGAGGGGTGTTTTATTTTTTTGGACTTGTAAAAGATGATGACGATGTTGATGAAGTTCATGCTCATGTTTGTATGAAACACTATCAAAATAATTCGACTTTATCTTTTGCATTGGTCAAAGGTGCATCCTTAAGGAGAATACATAATTTAAAGAGCTCTTATCCTTCAACAATTAGACTTACATCATTTACATGACCAAATAATTGGGGCTTGATTGGTGGCTTTTAGACCTTAGGTTTCTTGCCTTAATAATAGTGTATTAAAATCGTAGTAGGCGTGCATATAAAACCAAAAAGTCAATAAATAAAATAATTAAAAAAATTAGGTCAGAAAATTTTAATCGTTGTGATTTTCAAATAGAAAAATAGAAAATTTTAGGCGTGTATATAAAACCAAAATTTGAGGATCGGATTGATTTTCAAAAAGAAAATTAGAAATCCAACATACATATATTTTAGCTACACCATTTTTGTTGCATATATAAGATCATCCGTTATACCCACCACTAACCATTATAATGGTGGGTATCACATCGCCACCACTAGCTACCACTAAAATGTTGGGATACTCATCACTATATCTCTCTTATTTTTTGATTATTAAAATAAAAAAAGTATATATATTTTAATTAATTAAATTGTAGAGAGAGATGGAAAAAGGTAGAGAGAGACAGAGAGGAATAGAGAGAGAATGAAACTGATTGGGTGTGGTGCATATGACCACGAAAGTGTTCCACCATTAGCCACCACTAACACTATGAGAGGGTGTTTACATTTGTGGTTAGTGGCCACATAGACCACGGAAGCTCCCGTGATAACCATACCAGAAGGCCTAATTAAGACTTTATTTGATGAATTCTTTAAGGTGTTGTTCTATTACATCCGGATAAATTGTTATAACTTTTAGGGCACGTTTGACATATAGCTTTTGAGAGCTTTTATTTTATTTTATTTTTAACTAGAAATTTTATTATAAAATGTATAGGAAGAGTTAACGAAAACAAATCAAACATCATGAGTTCATAAAACACATCAAAGAACTAACATAGTATTAGTGAGCCAACATACATAACTAATTTCCTTCCTTCTGGTTCTATTAAAAAACGGTTGATCTTCTAACGTTTAGTTAATAAAAAGCTCCAAATTCAAACAACTACTTCAAGCATCGTTCAATTTAAAGCTATTTTATAATTTTGCAAAACTGACTTAATTACCTTTTTTTTAAACAAATTGTCTGTTTTAAATAAGTCTTTTTATATAATTTTACATGTTTTAAAACATTTCAATTATTTTTACCAAACATTCATATACAAATAAAATCTCCAATTTTTAGCTACCAACAACAACTATCAGTTTTCAACTAATTTTGTCAACTACGTGCTTTGAATGTTTTTTTTATTATATTCTATATTGCAAGATTTAAAACTATCATCTTCATCTTTTAATTGTGATTTTTATTTTAATATGCATGTATCAATCTATATTTTTTATCATTTCCTGCAATAAAAAATAAAATAAAATAAACAACAATGTTTTTTGTGCTACAAACATGATTTTTTTTCGGTGTTAGAAAAGCTCCACCGAATCAAATTGTCCTCACTGCTTGACTTGACAATGTTCACATCAATATAAAAAATACGACATTTTAACAATCTTGATACCCTAAGGGTTAATATAAATCCAAAAATTTA